CCCGCATTAATCGACTTTGGTTGGCTACTGAGAATTTGACTAGGAAACGCTATGCTGGTGCACATACCAATGATCCCCAGGATCTGAACAAAGCTTTGCTGGATTTCACTCAATTCCGGCCTGAGATAAGAAAACACGAGTGCAGCAACCCATGTGAGATGAGCAGCCCGTGCCTTGGCATGAGATAGGGAGAGGGCCAGAAGGCAGACCCAGATGAGCAGAGAGTGGGACACTTCCTCTGTAGTCCCACGGGCAAGGGAAACTTGGCCAATGAAGAAAATTTCTCAGGATCCTCCATGCAGGAAACTCTTGGGAGCAAACACACAAAGGCCGTCCTCTCTTCTTTCTCCTGGGGGTAGGAATGGGATGTGAGTAGTGGGCTCTTGCCCCTCTGGCATGCAGATCAAGCCCAGAGTACAACTGCCTTTGTAGGACAGTGTCCTCCCACTAGGACAGCTGTCTGGTGTGCTCCTAGGGAGGCAGGCCTGAACTGCTTGGGCACACCCAGGCATCCCAGCCCCCAAGTTGGGATCTGGAATAAGTTGTGCTTCTTGGAGCCCAGTTCCCGTTAGCCTGGGGTTGCCGTGGCCGTGGAGCCTCCACTCCTAATTCCTACTCTGTTCACCTAGGCAGGCCACTGGCCTGCAGGCTTGGCTCAGTCCCCACTCCAGTTCCTGGTAGCCCTGGCTCTGCCCAGCTCCAGAACCTTCCCCATCTTCACCAGTCTGCTGCTGGGGTCCCAGCAGACCATGAGGTCAAGCCCATCCTGGTTGACTGATACAAAGTCCCAAGGCCTGGTCTCCACAGTGCAGAAGGTGGTGATTCTGGCTCAACTTCCCCCAATTATTCTATGCCATGCAGCCTGCTCCCAGGAAGAATACAATGGGGCAAAGGCATCAATGCATTTAGAAAGGAAATAGCTTCAAGTCATACAGACCAGCAAGTTTAAGGTTCTCATTCTGTATGTGGACAAGGACTGAGCTCTGGAGAAGAGACCTGGCTTGTCCAAAGTTTCCCAGTACTTAGGCTTTAGGGCTCAGGAAAGATCCCGGGTTTCTCAACTCCTGTGAGGTTTGCTGTGACAACATCTGGAGCTCTTGTTTGGGCCAATATCAGCTTTTTGCAGATAGGGCAGTCTCAGAATCATCTCTGACTCTCTGGCAGCAGCATGGGGCCAGGCCCAGAGCAGGGGCTCAGTAAATGTTACTTAGGCCTGGCTGAATCAGTCTCCTTTGTGAAACCAATAAAACAGACACCGACATGTTACTGAAGCCAGCACAGGGATATAATATCAGGATTCTTCAAACACCTCAGCTGCTAGTAGGAAGGTGCTGTTTCTGCCTATAAGGCAGCATGGAAGTAGAGCAGGAGGTCATGTCACTGTATTAATTTTTTCTTTGCATAACTGTGATCCTGTGTCCACACAATAACAGCTGCTATTTATGGGAGGCCGTGGCACACGGGCTCTGCACTGGGGGCCTTGGCCACAGGTCCTATTTAGTTCTGCCCTCAACCCTGCCAGCCAGGAATTATTAGCCCCTCTTAATAGGCTTAGGCAGGTTAAGTGGCTCAAGGTCACCTGGCTCATAAGTGCTGGAGCATGGATTTTAGTCTGGGCTGTTTTACCTAAGTCAGGTTGCTCTGGCACAAGAACAGTAATAGTAACTAGTATGTCACAAGTTCAGTTTCTGGCAGGCACGTGAGGTGTATGGACTCACTTAATCCTCACTCCAACCCTATGAGGTATCATCCCTAGTTTACAGGTGAGGACAAATAGGCCCAGAGATGGGAAATAACTTTACCAGGTGATCTGAGCCAGTCTGGAAGACAGGGGACAGCTAGAGACAGAGGGAGCTCAGAGTAACAGGTAAGGGGTGCAAGAGGAAATTTAGAGCTGGGTTGGACTTGCTAGTTATATGACTTTAGGCATATTGCTTAGAAAAAGTGTTTTTAATTTTGATAAAATATGCATAACTTAAAATTTACCATTTAAACTATTTTCAATTGTACCAGGAAATTTAGAGCTGGGTTGGACTTGCTAGTTATATGACTTTAGGCATATTGCTTAGAAAAAATGTTTTTAATTTTGATAAAATATGCATAACTTAAAATTTACCATTTAAACTATTTTCAATTGTACCATTCAGCAGCAGCAGGTACATTCATCACTATGCAGCCATCATCACTATCCATCTCCAGAACTTTTTTCCTCTTCCCAAACTGAATCTCTGCACCCGTTGAACAGCAGCTCCCCGTTCCCCTTCCCCAGCCCCTCGCCACCACCATCCTACCTGCTGTTCTACGAATCTGACTGCTCTCATGTAACTTCACATAAGTGGAATCACACAGTATTTGTCTTTTTGTGTCTGACTTATTTCACTTAGTATAATGACCTCCAGATTCATCCACGGTACAGCATGTGTCAGAATTTCCTTCCTTTTAAAGGCCGAATAACATTCCACTGTGTATATATACCACCTTTTGTTTATTCGTTCAACCATTGATGAACTCCTGGGTTGCATCCACCTTTGGCGGATGCACTTGGGTGCACATGGGCAAATTATTTTTCAGTTCATCATCTTCTACCACAAACCTAAGCCTCCAGCTTTGTCCCCTGACTCAGAGGAGATATTCGCCACCCACCCAGTGTCTGGGTCAGAAACCAGAGGAAGAGATTAATTCTCCCTCTTCCTTCACAAGAACCAAGTCAGCCAAGTCCCGCCCCATCTACCGCCTGAGTTCACCCACTTCTCTGCCGTCACCTGTAGCCTCACCAGAGGGTCACCTGAATTTCAGCAGCCTCTTCCTCAGTCTCTAAGCTTTCAGTCTCCCCTTCCAGCACGTCTTCCATGTCACAGAAGAAGAGCAGATCTGACCGTGTCACTCTTGGTCTTAAAC